ATATATATGTATATAAAATATACTGGTACGAGCATTTAAATGCACCCCTTCCTTGCGGTTATAAAGCGTAGTTCTTTTCGCTGGTCATTGGGTCCACATGCTAATTATTGCTGCTGTTAATCAGTCCAGGAGCAGGCAACCCCACCAGGTTCCCATTTTTACTCCTGGGTGAAGAGAAGCAATGCAAATAAAGTGCCTTGCTCAAGGACACAAACGTACAGCGACGGATTGAAACCTCGACCTCGAGGAGGTGGGGAAACCAAACCATTCCCACTGCGCCAAACCGCTTCCACAATTTAATAACGATAGTGTTAGTAGGACGTTGATATTTTTTTCGTTTTTGTTGTTGTTTTTGATGTTGTTTTTTTTTTAGATAGATATTTTTCCTGGGGTAGATGTGAGGCTACCAAGAAACGGTTTATTATGAATCAGTAACAGCATACAATAATCCATTCTAAAACACTTGGAATAAAACATTCAAACAAACTGTATGCTTTGGGCAGACCCAACAGAAAATGTTCCCTTCAAATACAGAGTACATCAAAATATTGGCCTATAGAAACTTTGATGTAGTTTAAAATGATGTTATGACTATATAAAGCAAAATAATGCACAACATAAAATGATGTTTTGTGTTTACAGCGCTCTATAGGCCTACTGATAGTTTTAGCAGAGAATTGAACTGAAGAGATCCGAATTTCGGGGATTCGTCGGAACCCAAACCCTAAACCTAATTGACCCTAACCCTCATTAACGCTAACCCAAAGCACCAAAAGTTAAGTTTGGTTTACGATTAATTAGGGTTAGGGTTAATTAATCCTAACCCTAATCACCTTAACCCCATTTCTTCTTCCATCCACTCATCTGTCTATCGTGATTTTAGTTTTGTCAATTGTAATTTTGTCATGTATATTGTCAATACTGAAATTAATCGAATTTATTATAATTGAATTGAAATGATTATACATTATATTTCTGTATCTCTTGTATCATTACATAGACCTCTTGTATCATTACATGGATTCATTCATGTTTGGTAAATGGAATATTCACTCACACACACACACACATAATATACACAAAAATAACTGTTTCAATTGAAACTTCAATACTCCATTCGCCGACGAGTCGAAACTCGGTAGAGATTCGATGAAAACGCTGTTAGGCAGGTTAAACTCCTCCGATTTGTCGGGAGTTACAAAGCCTCTCCAGAAAAAATAGCTTTTGGCTTTGGGTGATAATTATAATGTAATATTTTACTCAATTTCGAAAATAATGTATTATATAAAGTGTTTTGATGTCTATCAGTGTGTGTTGTTTTTCAATAAATTAGATACTTGTATTGTTAAAGTGCGTATCCTTGTTATATGTTCTTTACCTAAGGACGTATTTTACAGAGTGTGACAGCGGCATGCAACAGCCAACCCCCCCCCCCCTCCAAATTCTGCTGCACAGTGTAATCCACCACACTGCACAAAACAAAAGTCGTCACGTGTGCATCATTTCAGGGGTTTTTCTATACTGCATGCTCTGCCAGGAATGAGGGATGCTAGGAGCCAACAATTGGTTAGAACCAATGAAATAGAAAGTTTCTATGGTGAGCGACATGTTGATCTGTTGTGTAGATAGGAAGGCTCTATTTTTTCTGCTGCTGTTGTGTCATGCTATTTGCCTTAGGATATAAAAAATTACCGACACTTGGGATAAACTTGAAGACAAATAAGATTTATTCTCTGTATTAATGTACAACAATGTACATACTGCACACATAACTTTTAACAGAGATATATTATTAATCACTTTCATGGTTTACACTACTAACTGAATGTCCCATAATTCCAAAAGTTCACCCAAGATTTTAGAAATAGAGTAAGTCTCTACCAGGTACTATCTATGCAACAGTGAATATTATGTTGAATTTTTAATTATAACAAATCTTTAGTATTGGTATCAAAGAAATCATGATTTCGTCCGTAAATGACTAGAGTAATTATTATATATCAAGTTGATATCCATTTCATTAGCTCAGGAAAGCCCTCCACAATAAAGCTGAAAATGAATTGTTAATTTTTTTTTACATTTGGAATAAATTTACTGTTTCAAATACATTTTACCATAAACTTTTATCAATTATATTTCAAATTTTTTATTCTTTTGTTGAAAAAAACAACTTTGAATTCTCATTAAGTACATGATTTACGGCATGGTTTATACAGTGTTCTGTTATATTATATTTTGGTGAATATTTATAAAATATTTTGTCACAGAGTAACCTGGTTTTTAATAAAATTTTGATATATTTTCTATATTTTATTTACACATACAATAATGTAAACACTTTTTCTATACAATATATTTTGGTCTATACCTCTAGGGCTTATTAAGCTACATGAAATGTGGAAGAATTGATGATTTGAAATTTAAAGGTCTAAAAAAATGACAGATCGTTTACTGCCTCCTCATCAGGTGTCTCGCTTGCAGAGCCAATGTCGGATTCTTCAAACCCAGATGTAGATCCTTCAAACTCAGATTCTTCAAATTCTGAGCCTACAGAACCATCAGCTGCTCCTTCTTCATATTCACAAGAACAGGCCTCGATCGTCTCCACCTGATTAAAGAGAAAATATTTGCTTTTGATACAGTGCATCTTGAAAAATGATAATCTCTGGATGGTGAAATGGGATTAGGGAAAAAGGGGTGTTAGCTTGCAATTTGTAATATAAATTAATGTTTTGATTATTATAGTGGACATGTGACCTAGTTCCCCGTGGAACCTCCTCTGCTGTATCTGTGTTAATTGTTTAAATCTATCTTCAAATCAAATCAAACGTTTTTTTAATGCAGTTTGTTAATAATAAAAATCCTTTCCAAAAAAAAAAAAAAAATGTTAAGAATAATAATTAAACTTAATAAATGTCAAGTATACAGGTCAAAAGAATTACACAATAAAATTGACAAGTAAATTTCTGATTGCGGGTAACCATGAATAAACAAAGGGAGCCTAGAGAAACCACCTCATCACCTAAAAACCTTTAAGACAAATTCATTAAAGGAAATAAAACATACCTCTACAAACTCTGTGCTGCCATCTGAACATATGACGCTCTGGATTGACGAAATTACTCTGTCTGGCTTACAACATTGGTTCATGGTCTCACCGCATCCGCCACGACAGATACCAAGATCTCGTTCAAATGCTGCCTGGCAACCATTTTCGTTTGTGATGTTGACCCAGTTTTCTAGTAAGCCACAATGAAGAGGTTCGGATCCACCAACACCTACAAGAAATACATATAAATTTGTGTAATCTTCTGGTAAGCTTTCCACGTCTATAATAGACAAAAACGAGAATTAAACAAGGATATTGTTCATCATTCACGCAGGGCGTATATATAGGCGTAGGGCGAGTCCATTATTTTTTGTTATGCTCGAGAGGTAAGTTCCAAAGGAAACTTAGGCATTTATTGGTTTATCTAGGTAATATTCACGAAATAGAATTTGTATACATATTTATTTTATTTATAAATTTAGTAAATTGTATATTAAGAATATTCTTGCTTCTTCCTAAAAACTGTTAGTAATAGATATATGCCTATAATTGGTAATTATTAAAAAAAGGTTTTAAGTTGTTCATAGGTTTCTGGCTTACAGTTTATTATTTATTATTATATATCTTTTTTTAAAATTTTATTCCTTTTGGCATAAAAGACAAATTACATTACAAAAGAAAAAAACAAAAAACAGAACAAATTTCAAGGTGAAATAACAAGGCAAAAAAAAAAAAATCCCAACCTGCTATACATCATTTATATTTTTGCTTCATTTTCCATTCTTTCATCCACCCAACAATCTATCTGGTACCTATTAATATTACTTAAAGGGGAAATTGTCTTAATTATGACATTCTCCAAGACTTTCATTGGTTGTTTGATCCAAGCTCACTCACCATCAATACAGCTACCTCTTCTTGTGACTGAGACGTGTCGGTCATATATACAAGAAACTTTCAACAAGTTACATTCAGATCTATATGTTGAGCCATCAGATCCACAGACAAGATCTTTGGGAACATTGGTACAATCGGGGCATTGACACGTGGGCAGGTGGTCTGCACCGACAATGCATTCAGCGCCAAATGGACATAAAAAGTCTGCACATACATCTGCAAAAAAAAAAAAAAGGATATGGGGATATTGTTTACATAATAATTTTAAATTCTTTGCAAAAAAATGTACAATAAGCAAACATTAATATATTTCCTAGGAGCAAGGAGAGATGGCCAATATTTCAGCTCCAGTTTGTGCTATTTATTGCTTTATCCGGGTAACTTTTCACAAAATAATTTTAGACGACCATATTATTTTGTTTACGTCCTTTGTTATAGTAAAATGAGACTGTTGGTTACACATGAATCAATGACAAATTCAGTAGATTTCAGTGACTGTCTACTGGTGTATGGGCAGTCATCAAAGGGTGTCGGGATTAAAGCCAGGCAAACACTGACTATCTTGACTAATTGTCAGCCAACAAATCTATGTCTGCTTTGTGTAAGCACTTCACAACATGAAACTGTCTGCAGACCTGCGTGGATCATTGTGAAAAAAATACAAAATAAGCACACATCGCAGTGTAGTTTCCATATAATCAGGTTGCCAGGTGAAGATTGCCTGTGGATATTAAAAGGATTGTACTGTGATCCAATGTTAACATACCATCTGGGCATGGTCCATGATTGCATTCCATTGCCTCTTCAAGCTCTGGACAGGGCTCACCACCTTCATCGGGCTGTTGACGGATGGTTCGACTTCTTGATGCAGTACCTAGACCACAGCTGACTGAGCAATCTGACCAGTCTGACCAATGAGTTACTGTGCAATCTAAGTAAAACAAAAATCATTCAAATTTCATTTTTGTCCAAGTTTATAATTAAAGACGATGATAATAGATGAGTAAGTTACAAAATTCAAAGGCACAATCACATGCTGGGACAGTTCTATTTTTGTTGAAGGGGTGTTCTTAAGGTACAATGGTAATTAGTTGAACAAGTCAAAGAGCAAATGTAAACTTCACCTCCAATAGACTAGTTGCAATAAATTCAGCAATAAAAGCACCCTTCTTATTTTCTGAAGGTATCGCAGAACCACCACTGTTAGATTACCCTACCTACCATCCATAGTTAGGAAACAATTCACAACCTATCACAGGGCTAGTCAAATCAGGCCATGTCACTATGAAAATCTGTAGTGGGTTAGTTAGAAGTAAAAGTCAAAAGTGTGACCATAGTGAATACACATGTTGAGAGTTAATTATCTAACCCACATGTTTACAATGGTATTTTACATCATATAGACATTATATCTCTTACCTGTTGGGCAGGGTCCAGGGTGATTTGTTGTGACTATTAATTCAGATTCACAGACATACTTTTGAAGTTCACAGAGATTTTCATATGTGTTGCCATCTGAGCCGCAGACTTCACCGGTTCGAACTGCAAAGTAAATAACAGAATATTTGGTTTAAAATTTCAGATTAAGTTGTGAGACCACTGTGCTATGTAACTTTTACATGGTTTATGCTTTAATTAGTGCTACTAGAATAAAGATATTAATTACGCTAATAATTATAGATTGTGGAAACATGGGAAATGTCCAACTTGTTGTATACTGTAGTTACAGAACCATCTACACATCACTGCCATTAAGTAAGTGGTAGCTTTTACAAATTGAATTTGTTAGAAATGGTTTTAACTAATTCTACTTCATCTTTAACATTGCTTCAATTTATTCACATAAGTCTTGAATATTATTATACAAAGTTTGTTATTTCTTTTTTTTTGTTTAAATTGAGGCCGGCTACATAACATTGTTGCATTATATATGCCTGAGACGGATGATTCCATTATTTTCGAAGTAAGTTCCTAAACGAATATTGGTATATATCGGTTCATTCAGGTAAGGATTCACAAAATAGACATTATAATACAAAGTTTGTTACTGATACCTTCAGCAGCATTTGGGTTGTTGCAGTTGGGGCATACACAGGCTGGGGCACCCTCCTCAATAATACAGGTTGCTTCAGTATGGCAATTCACCTCAGAGCAGGACTCTATACAAAAAAGCATTTTATGTTGTTAAAAATTATATTAAAAATTGAATTATTTATACAAAATGAATAATTTATTTTTCAAATATGATTTAAAAAAATGGTGAGCTGATGTTGTCTTAATTTTTAACATGACTTGCAGAAAGATATGCACACATTAATATGTAGTACTGCAGTAATAATACTCTATGGCCAAGAAAAAAAAGCCCTAAGGAAGAAAAGAAGCAATAATGTTAAATTAAATGAAAGAAAAAAATGAGGGTAAGAAGGTAAGATAGAAAAAGTGTGTCAGAACATGAGACAGAAATGTTAAGAATATACTGAAAGACAGTAAATAAGGTTTGCAAACAGTGAACTATATCACTGTGTAAATACCTCTTTCACAATAAAGTTGTTTTTAGTTGAGAGAAACAATCTGTAACTTAACAGGGAGTAAACTCGTGACTTTGGGATTGGAAGGCAAATCTTAATCATCTGGGTCAGTATTCCAATGAATAAATAATATACTAATTTTTTTGTATGACTTACGAACACATGGTCCTCTGTACTCGATTTTAACATTCTCTCTTCGCTCACAGTTGTAAAGCCATAAGGCTACCTCAGATTCGTAAGACTGTCCATTGGTACCACAGATTACACCTGGGTTCATAGGGCAGTTCTCGTCAATACACTGACATACGCATTCTGGCATGTTCTGTTCAGTTACGATGCAAACTTTCATTTCTGGGCACAAATCAGGTCTACATATCGCTGCAAATATAAGTTATATATAACATTTATCTTTGTGAAATACAAATATACATATTTTTGTACAAGACTGAACCAAGAAAAGTAAGACAGGAATTTTAATCTAGCACTAGGACTAGGCTCCCGTCATTGTTTCAGAGAATAAGTCTTTCCAAAAAGATATGAATATCACCAGATATCACTAGATACATGTGTGTAGAAAAAGCTTCACATAACATGCTCTTTTTTAACCTAAGTTGAATATGACTTTGTTTGGGAGACAGCTTGGCTGTTGTCTGTTTCGGTTTATAGACTTACTGGTTTCACTTCCTCATTCAATTATTAAAAACTGCTCAAATTTAAATAACATTTAAAAAAATTCAACAATGTACTCACGTTCACATATTCTTCCATCGCCCATGTACCCAACATTGCATTCGCATTCAAAACCTCCCACGTTGTTGGTGCAGCTGGCATGTTCATGACACAAATCCAATGTACACTCGTCAACATCTAACATTAAAGGAAAATTGCGATTGTAAGATATTTTATATTCCCATTACAATGTTATACACCACAAATAGGTCAGTGATGCGTAGTGGTGTATTATTGCTATAGATATTGATAGATAGCATATTGGAATTCTAATAACATCTGTATTACAGTAATAACAACAACAATAATAATAATTGATAATAATAATATTAATAATAACAATAATTTAAGAAAAAATTTAAAAACTGTTTTATACACATACCAGCACATTCGCCTTCATCCATGGCGTAGCCTCTCTTACAGTCACATCTAAATGCACCAGCGGTGTTTATACAGATGGAGTTATCAACACATTCAGCGATTCCATTTATGCATTCATCAACATCTTCATAAAAGATATGAAATAAATATAAAAATAGAATAAATATTTATAATATTAATAGAAAATGACATTAAATATACAAACCACAATTATTACTATTATAAATAATAAACCTCTTTTGGATAAGCTCCACACCGAGGCTTCCAAAAATGTTACAAGCACCACCGCCCTTATTTGGTCAATCCTTTATGATGGTAATTGGAAAGGGCAGATTTTTTGCAGTTGATCTGTAATAGCTCAGTTCACTTACCTTCGCAGTCCATGTCTTCCTCATTCAGGGTAAATCCATTCATGCAGTCGCAAGCAAAAGATCCCTCTAAATTGATGCAGTGACCGTAGTTGCCGCACATGCTGGACGTATCAGATGAACTTGTGAACAGTGAGCATTCATTGATGTCTGTAAGTCGAAAATTTGGAAAACAATAATGTTAAGTAATATGATGATAATTATGGATCAGAAACGACCATCTTCTTCTTGAAGGATATCCTGGCCTTCTAGGCCTCATTAGCTCAGACAGTTCTTCACCCATCACTTTCGGCCCTTCACTGTTTGCCCAGGTGCTAAACTGGCATTTATTGGCTTATCATGAAATAGACTTAAGACATGTGACAATAACATTATATATTATATACATTTTAGTCATCATAAATAAAGCTCCCTTATAGCAATCATGGACTTGTAGAAGAACACTTTTAGAGTAGTAATATAAGCTTTCCTACTTATCAGTTAATAATTACTGATAATCATCATTGAAGAAGTATAGATGTGTATAAGAGACAGCATTATTAACCTTATGGTGACATTAAATATTCAAAATATATTTTTCATACCAAGACAGCTCTTGCCGTTGCCTCTGAAGCCCTCTTGGCAGTCGCATCTGTATGAGCCAATCGTGTTGGAACATGTGGCGTTGATGTGGCAGCTCACAGTTTCACATTCATCAATATCTGGGTGAATAATACATTTTTCAAACATATTATTTGTCATGTTTCATGGGTTTTTAAATTTTATCTTATAAAATGTTTGTATGATGGAATCATAATTGATTAATAGATTTTTAACATTCCCTGAAACTTGTGAATATCTTACCGACACATTCACCCTCAACTCGACTGAATCCATTCTTGCACTGACAAGCGTAGGTTCCAGGTTCGTTGACACATAGTGTGTTACTTGGGCAGACTGCGTAATAGATAGATCCCAGTTGTTCTACACACTCATTAACATCTTGATGAAAAAAAACAAAAAGATTAAATTAAACCAAACAAATAAAGAAACAGCACTTAAGAACTAATGAAACTCTATTTAAATAATGTCTAAAATTTGAAACATATTAATAATAACAGTAACATCAATGAGGGTTGCTTTAATAAATGCACTTACCAACACACAGATGGCCAACTTGTCGGAATCCATCATTACAGGAACATGTGAAGGAACCAATCAGATTCTCACAAGATCCATTCTCACAAGTTGCATTGTATGCAGTACACTCGTTGATGTCTAGAAATATAGAAATGATGCGTTAATGTATGATTTAATACTATTTGACTACTCTATACAACAGCTTAATCTATGTGTTTAAAACTCAACAAGTCAAACAATCCTGAGTCTCTTTCCAAGTTCTTACCTTCGCATGTTTCTCCATTACCGTTGTAGCCTGAACCACAAGCACAATCATAGGACCTGTAGGTGTTGAAGCACTGAGCCGATGGGTGACATCGATGCAAGCCCTCTGCACATTCATCAACATCTAAAGATAACCAAGATATGTAGATTATTATCTTTATTACTATTATTATTATTATTATTATTATTATGTTACTAAAATCTACCTTATGGGGAACTTAGACAATGGAGAAATTAGAGAACAATAAAAAAAACGACGTTAAGGGGAAAATAACATAACGTGAAGGGGAAAATAACACAGAAGATATTCCCCTAAATCTGACTTGCATATTTTTATTATTAATATTTTTATTATTATTATTATTATTATAATTATTAATATTATTACAGAAGACAGCAGTTAGAAAGCAACTTAATTATTGTAAAATTGATTTGTTCGTCTACCTACTATCTACAAGAACAAAAACAAAATGTACATAAACATTGAAACTGTCAATTAACTCTTTCATCAACAAGTTCTGACCACATTATCATATTTTATGTGGTAAAAATTTGTGTTATTTGCCCATATATGAACATGATGATGTCCTATCACAGCCATATATGGGCATGTCATATTACACCCACATATGTATAAGTCTTAAAGTCATAAGTAATCTTTATTCATTCTCAAAGAGAAAATTCCATTGCTCGTCTTGGTAATTAAAATAAAAAGTTAAAATACAGGTAAAAAAGGTTGAAATGATAATTTTTATACATATCAATTAAGTACTGGACAATCATAGGAATTGGTCACTCAATTATAGTGTGGACAGAGCTTCACAATTAGTTTAATAGACCTGTCAATCAAACTTAACAACTGACCAACCTTGTGGGACGTTAGCAACAATATCCAAGGGGCGGGGCTTAATGGAAAGGTGCATTTGATAGGCTTACTCACCGTGACAAGCTCTAGTGTCAGCTGTGCTCTGCAGCCCAGATGGACAAATACATTCATAGCCTCCATCCAAGTTATGGCAAATGGATTCCTCACTGCATTGTGGGTCGTTTTCACATTCGTTAATATCTGTAAGATTCAACCAAAGCATAAAGTGTGTTGCTTTTATTATGATCATGGTTTATGCCAATGGTATCACTTTCAAAACATTCTAAAGGTGGAGTGCATAGCTTAAGAACATCCTAATTAGTATCATCATTGAAGAAGTATCTTAAATAGATTCTATACGTTTCTATTTTGTTGTTGGGATATTCTTAAAGGAAGAATGACCATTACAGCCGGTTTGTCAGAAAAATAGACATATTCTAATATAGTTCAAATTGCTACTTGTAAGATTTCTCTTAGTGTGATAAGGGCATTAGATTATAAAATATAACAATATTTAATTATTTCAAAAAGGCCCCTGAATATCAGCTGACCTAGGATAAACTACTGTAGAAGGATCATCTATAAATATGATAAAAATTGAAAAAAAAAATTTTTACAGTATCTATATTTTCTCACCTATGCAGTGTCCAGCATCGTTCTCTTGGTAGCCAGCACCGCATCGACATGAAAAGTTGCCCATTGTGTTAATGCATTCAGATATCGGTTCTGGACAATCATGCAAGCCTCGAGTACACTCATTGATATCTGTAATTGAGACAACATAACAAATGTAATAATAGAAACAATAGCCATGAAGCATTGCCCAAACTGTCAAGTTTCATATGCAGATGTTCTAACACCTAGACTCAAAATTTCCTGGAGACCAAAATGATCTAGAGAGGAGGCGGTGGGAGGGTGGCCATCTAGGTAAGCATCTCACTCATAGACCAACAACATCACTTCTGATTTGTTTGATTTGTAACTGCTATTATTTTATTTATTTTATTATGAATACCAATATTTTGCATTACCAACATATTGCACTTTTCATTACTAAGATTCTAATCTACATGTCAGAAGAAAAACAAACTGGAATATTTGGGAGGGCAACATAAAAAAGTACATTCAGTCATAAGAAATATTAAATATTTAAAAGCCTGAAGTATTAATCATGTACAATTTATCATGCACTACACAATAGCAATTTAAACATAGGTCAATAAAATAGTGTCAAGAACAACAAAAAGAACTAACCGACGCAGTAGACGCCATCGCCCTCGAAACCTCTGTTACACCTACAGCCGTAGTCTCCGTCTCCGTTTATACAAACTGCATTCGAGCTGCACATGTTATCACTGGCGCATTCATCAACGTCTGAAAAGTTAGACAGTATTATCTACTAGTGTTCATATACAATTCAAATCTAATACCTTGATTATTTATTGGTATGTTACGTCACTAAATTCTTATAAAACATCATTCTAATGCTCAGTGTACTGCACTAAGAAGACGGCAACTGAAGAAATATGGCAGAGTTATGTTGTCCAGTGGCCTACTTAGCATAACTGGGGGCAGGTTACCACGTAGGTAGGAAGGTAATTGTATTGTTTACTCACCATTACAAGTCTCACCATCTCCGTCATAACCTGGTTTACAGAAGCACATATAGTTTCCAGGCATGTTCAAGCACACTGCATTCAAGGCATGACAAGTGGACAGCTCCTCATCACATTCGTTGATATCTATATCAAAAGACATTTATTAGTTTAATTAATTTTTTAATGAATTATACGCAGTTGCATATCTATGATTATTTACATGGAGAGGTTGCTGTTGGAAGAAGGAATCTGATGTGGGGAGTGGATTGTTGGGGATGATGGAGCGCAATGGTTAAGTAGGGGCCTGAGGACTAAGTGATGGGTGCCTCCTGAAAAAATAAGTTATCTAATGTTTTTTGACTCCCTGACTGTAATATAGTAAATAATAATATATAGTAATATTCTAAATGAAAAGGTGAAGGCTGCCATAAATGTTTTTGAGATAAAGTGTTACTGAAGAGTAATGGCTCTTTTGTGGATGGAGTGCAGAACTATTGGGCACTGAAGAAAACTTGCTAACACACTTAAATTTCAAAACTCAAATTAAAACACTTTGGTCACATCAAACATCACAATTGTCTAGAGAAGACATTTATGGAAGGCAGAATTGAGAGAAAGAGAGATAGAGGACGGCCAAAGGAGACCAACGGAGAAAGACATTTATGAGCTACTAAACATCAGCATAGCTGAAACAGGCAGAAGGGCAACAGAAAAAGCTTCTTTCCGTGTAGCTATCAGGGATGCTACGTCCAACTGAGGATTTGCAGGATAAGTAAGCAAGTAAGTGATTATAATATTTTTACTCAGAAAATTTCTAGTAGGGTTATTTGCAGAGAGAAAGCTATTTTGTACACCCTACACCTCTCCATTAGATATGACACCGATGTAATGTAAAGAAATTTTCATTTACCAATGCATAAGTGTCCATCACCTCTGAAGCCTTCCTCACATACACATGAGTAGCTACCGGCATGGTTGGTGCAATCGGCACTTTCATGACATGGATTCTCAGCACATTCGTCAACATCTGATGGCAGTAAGCAACGTTAAAAATAGTAAGATAACAGAAAATGTTGACATAAGCAAGAATGTGAAAAAACATGACAATGCTAAGATTCTCAGCAGGAGCTGGGGAGTTTGTATTAAAAATATTTTTGACTTTACAATAAAGGGCATGATGAGATATTTGTAACATCATTTTCTGTAATAATAAATGTTAAGACTTTCTTGTAATTGTGTTATACCTTATATTTTGGGCTTATATACACTATTAGCCCTGTGAAAATTTTAGAATATTTTATTTGTTTTATCTTGCTTAATGTACTAGGAATCATGTGATCATATACTGTATCCAACTACAGTTTAACTCAGATGCTCTCAAACTTTCTTTACTACAGTTAATTTGAGCATGATATAAAAAAAAATCAATTTCAAAAAAATCTTGAAGACTCTCGCTACCCTCTAATTTATTTGGCGGCCAAATTTATATTTTTAGAACTGCTGATTAACCCACAAATAAATTGTATCTGGCTATTACTACTTTAGACACACAAAGTGGACTTTAACTTGTTTTTTTTCTTTACCTGAGCACTGTCTGCCGGTTCCTTGGTACCCTGCCTTGCATTCACATGTCACGCTTCCAATCTCATTAATGCAGTTTGCATCCTCATGGCAGTTGTTATCACCCGTGGCACACTCATTTACATCTGAGAATAAGAACATAAAAAGTTAGAATAAACAATCCACAATCAAACAAATAAAAGAAAACAAAAAAAACATTAATGTTTAGTATTCTGCATGCAATATATTAAATGATGAATATTTTCCTGCTTATTATATAATTGCAAAATCCTTTTAATACGCATATTTTTTTATAAATATATATTATATTTTGGTGAGAGTTAGTGAAAAATATCATACCCTGACAAGATCCTCCGACACCAACAAAGCCATCCTCACATGTGCATTCGAAATAGCCTTCATTGTTAACGCAGTTGGAATGTTCTGGGCACAAGTCTTGTATCTCTTCACACTCATTGATATCTAAGTAAAATTATACAGTAAAGCTAAACCTTAATGAAATTAGAATGCTGATATATTTGATCTGATATCATGTGACTTCTCCACACAGAGTGGTCAAATGATGAGTAAGGGCCAACCAGTTTGCTGAACGAAGATGTTAAGATGACAACAAAACCTACTGTATGAATAGTAACACAACAACTCTGAAACAGGTGAAACTCTACTTGGAAAATGCAATCAACCAAGTACCAGCATCCATGCTGATAACAACAAAAATAATGACAATAATAGTAATACTAATAATAATAATAAAAAAATAATAACAATAACAATAATAATATTAATATAAAAATAATAGCAATATTGAAAAATATAACTAAAAAACTGTAAATAACATAAAAAATATGCTATAATACCGTTGCAATCTCCACCCTCGTTCATTGCGTATCCTGGTTGACAGACACACTCAGCTTCACCGCTTGATTCATCACAGTAGGAGTTGGCTCCGCAGTTGGCGGCATCTGGATTTTCACAGGTCGAGATCTCTGAAAGAGGGAACAGCAAATGGTACAAGGATAACAATAATTCAGCTACAAACCACCGAATTTTTTTTGCAATAATTGTACAAGTCACATAAGAACAATAAGTCTTAATAACAGAAGCTTAAAGAAAATTAATATTATTAAATGCCAATCTCTAATTAGAACCCACTGTTATTAGTGCCCATCAACAAAGAGTCAAAATAATGAATTAGCACCTTATTACATCTTATACAGCAAGCACAGTAGAAAGAGTAAGCATGATTTATTGTCAATTAAACACAATACGGTAGGAATACATAATTAAATTTTCCTTACTCTCACAATGATATCCATCATTTCCCTCATAACCATCACTGCATGTACAGGTGTACCCAGGTGTATCATTGGTACAGGTGGCTTCCTCTGGACAGGTGTCTGTGCCTAATGCACATTCATTGATATCTAGGAGAAAAATAGTAGAGCATGTATTTTTAATATTTTATGTACCAAATTCTTCCTTAAAAATTTTCAATTTAAAATAATTTAACTTACCCAAACTTAATGTATAACATAACGATTTTGAATCAAGCATCATTGTTGGGCTCCTATTCAGTTGATCCCAATGATGGTAATTGTCAGATACTTAAATTATCAGCTATACATCAAGAACATTTTATGATCAATATCACATTGCTTAGAAAACTAACCTGTGCAGTTAAGTCCGTTGCCCTCGAAGCCTGCTCGACAGGCACACTCAAAGCCACCTTTGTTGTTTCCACAATCAGCATTCGGATCACAAGGGTTACCTTCATCAAGTTCACATTCATTTACATCTAATAAATACATACCATAATATGTTATTCTTACAGACTAGCTATGATCAAGAATATGCCTCATTTTTAGAATAACCATTGTGTTAATTATTTTACATGTGACTATAATGGTTTTTGGTTGTTTTTTTTTTCAGTCACCCCAAACAAGTCCAAGGGCCACTCAAGGTAAGGGGTTAGGATAAGAAAATGGATGATACTGTATGTGAATACAATATCAAATAACTAGAGTAATTAGCAAATCAATTAATTATTTTTACTAACAAGTAATATATCATATTACGCAATTAAATATTTTAATCAATTAATCACATTAATGATACATTTTATTCAACTACTTATTTTATTTATTCTTATACTGGGAAGCCTGTTTAGTAGCTTATCTTCAGCTCTCCAACAAGGCCTGGTACAAAAATAACATAAAATTTATTTGCATACATGTGTTTTAAATCAGCATTTTGTGCATTAAACAGATTAAAATCTACATAATGCACATCTTTATATTAGGTAACATAATGATTACCATCACATTGGTCTCCACTGCTGTTGAAACCATCATCACAAACACAATCGTAGCCACCATCATTGTTGCTGCAGTGAGCATTGGCAGGACAGTCTGCACCACCTTCTTCACATTCATCAATATCTTAGGAAGATAAAATTTAAATTGTGTAACTTAACAATATATTAGGTAAAATCCCAATCAAATCTTATAAAAATTGCATTAGTTTAAACAATATCATGTTGTAAAAAGTGATCAGGAAAATATACAAATATAATCAGAATTGACCAATTATAAACAAAAATGGAGAACTCTTATTGCACACTTTTTTCGTAGCTGATTAATCATTGATAATTTATGGTCCCTAATCATTGTTGCAAAGTGCCTGTTACATGTGGGCTACATCAACAACTTCCAGCCAGTGTTAACAAAATCTAAAATAATAATTATTATAAATAAATGTTGTGAATGATGTATAAACATGTTTATATTGTCTACTGTATATGGCAATGACATAAGAAACCACAAAATTTAGGAGTATCTTAGTTAAGGCAAGACTTTTTAATACCTTGTTTTGCAAAAATATTCTTTTAAAGATCGTCAGAGGAGGGAGGAAAAAAAAATATATAAAAGGTTGTTCCCTTATTTTGCAGACGGAGAAGGAAATAAAAATAAAATTTTATTGGTGAATGCAAACAGTATAGTAATGAGATGGCTAATGCTTTAAATTTATATACAGTAATTAGGAAGAAATATACATATCCTATTTTTGGAGATTTCAAGGCAGTGGAAAATAGAGTAAAGTTTAATTATTTTCTGAAATTTCCATTTTTTCGTGGAGGCAGGTATGCTAATTGGCTAAAAACAAAATTTTAGTTTTATTAGAAATCACCATTATTGGCGGGTGACGAGTCCGCTAAACAAGGTATAAAAAATCTCGTCTAAAAGAATAATGGTAACAGTAGGATTGGACAAAATTCATTCAGCTTATAAAATAGGGAATGAGGACTATTGTTAGGGAGACAGTCTGTATGTGGCACCCTGGGTCAGACTATTCTATTGTACTAAGGGATGTTCCATTTCGGGAACAATGGCAATTAGTCAGTTTAGCCAGGTAAGTATTCATAAAATAGACCTGACAATTCATTCAGCTTACCAATACAACCTGTTCCATTAACCTTTCCATCACCCTGGTAACCTCTTGGGCAGATGCACTTAGCACCACCAATAAAGTTGTAACAATCTGCACCATCAGCGCATATTGGCACCTCGCCAGCACACTCGTTAACATCTGAAGAGAATATAATGATAAACTTGCAATTAAGCAGTGCAATTCCAGTTGTCTGAGTGACTTTATAACAATTATAATTATAATTTTTCCTTAAAATCATATAATCAACAGCAAGATCAAACCTAGCAAAAAATGGCAGAGATTGTTTAAAGCCAAAAACTTCACACCATTCACAGTTGAGGTTATAAATCAACACAGATTCATCATAGTGTTATATAAACTAAAACTGAAATTTAAACTTTGAACTTCTTGAATAGGCTTAAGTACATACAAAAACATTTTAGTATACCATTTAATTTGTGTGTTTTAGTGTTTTTTCACCATGTATTTTTGTACCTACTGTAATTTCCTTTTGGACAAAATAAAAAAATCTTAATCTGAACATAAATTAAACAAATAAGTGCATGTAACAGAAAACAAACAGTTTCTTTAAGGCAAGCTTAGCTGGGACAATCATCCCGTTTAAATATAGTTCAATAAATATTACTTAATTGGTCTGACTCTTGATCAAGATTGAATCTCATACCTTCACGACAGTTGTCACCACTGAATTTTGGGCGGCATGGTCCACAAGAGTATCCGCCGGCCGTGTTAGTACATCCAGTAGTACCGCCACCGCACACGCTTGCGCTACCATCGCCTGGAGCACATTCATCAATATCTGTGAAAAGAAAAACGCTTGTATTAATATTGCATAACATGTACGTTTGTAGAAAAATATTTTTAGAGAAAATATGCATATAAAGCATTTTTTTTCTAAAATGGATATGTGCACTGTATATATATTATACATAAATTATGTAAATGCTTAATGTGTACCTTCACAGAATGTTCCATTGCCTTGATAACCATTTGGACATTCGCAGATAAATCCACGTGCTGTATCAATGCAGTTAGCTTCTTCTGCACAATCATCCAAGTCTTCAGCACATTCATTTACAACTGTGAAATAAAAAAGTAATTTCAATATCTAAAAGAACTGCTCTTACAGTAGAAATATTTAAAGTGTATTTCTCAGATTATAGGTATATATTCTGATGAATGCTTGAGACAAGACAACTTACTGTTACATTCGTTACCACTGCCTGTGAATCCCGGATAACAGACGCAATTTACAGAGCCATCTTCGGCTTCTACACACTCTGCATTCTCATCACATGTTCCTTCGCATGGATCAACACCTACAAGGATCAATATCACTCAGTTAATCATTTAAGTTGAGTTGGTGCATTATATAGGATGCATATTTTGTCCTGAGTTGCCAGAGTGTGAGCTAGAAGGTTGTTGTTTCTTTATTACACAATCAACCAATTATATAATGATATAAACCTACTTTTTAATTTAAGTATCAAATAATGATTTACTTTATAAGAAAAACTATGAAACCACCAGCAAACAAATATCTATCGGAACTGTGAGAATATATTAGTTTTCCACATTCCACGTTAGTATGTCCATTATTATTTTTTATAACAAAAGTGACTAAAAAACCCAAACATCATAAAAGCATGCTTAAGGAATGAGAGAACAACAAGTCATGAGGTATGAAATACATATGGCTTAATTGTTAGGCTAAATGCTATTTAGTTATTTATAGGCATTTTATTTATTAATATCTTCTATGAATACGTAAAATGCATAAAAACAATGTACATGTACTGACAAGATCCAAAAGGTGAACTGAATGAATATTAAGTGGCTCTCTAAGGCCAGAGAAGAAATGTATAGAAAAAATATAAAGATATATAAGTTTCATCAATATTTCTAAATAAAGAAAATATGGTGAAAAGGAGTAGAAAAAATAGAAAATACCAAATGCCATCTAATGGCTGAATACTAATAAATAAGATTGGGTAGATGGTTAAAATTCCCAAAACATGTAGATAGAGAGAAGTGCCAAGATTTACTTTACATTACAGTTATGAAAAACAAATGATTCAAAGGAAATGATTGTAAAACAAAAAGGGGAAAAAAGTTTTTAAAAAATGGGATATCAACAAATCTCTGTGAAAGGGTTTTATAATTAAGGTCATGATTTTAAAAGCAGGTATTGCAAACGTACCACCATCCTCTTCATCGGTGTTACCTACAATAACATAATATTTTATAATACTATGAATAATATTTAATTCCCATTGTCATATATATTTGATTATGTGTAAACTCATATACTAATCAGCTCTGCCCACTCAACCCCAGGAAGAATTGGCAGCCCTCAGACATTTTGGTCCACAAATTCGCACCCACCCAATAAAAATCCTGCGTACGGGCCTGAGCTACGTACCAGGACTTTTATATGAATATAAAATCTCTGGGAACATCATATCAATTGGACCATAGTCACATGCCATCAAAATGCCTTAAATTTAATGCATTTCACTCTATTTTTTAAAAACCATTATTTCTTCTTCTTCACAAGGGTTGCCTTTCCCCAAATGGAGTACTTTTTCGCAACTCTCCCACATTTACTTATAACCGCTATTGTTCAATTTCTTAATGTCTTGACATTAAACAAATACAATTCTCACATAGCTTTAATTCAACATCATTTTCTTTCATTCTTATCACTTACGATAGCACTGGTAGCCGTTTCCGACATAACCGTCCTGGCATTCACATGTGTAGTATTTGCCGTGGTCAATGCAGTCAGCATTTACAGAGCATTCATTGGTTGATGGGTCAGCGCACTCATCAATATCTATATAAAATAATAACGAAGAAATTTAGTCAAATAATTAAAAAATATTCTCTTATAAAGTTGTTTTTTTTAAAAACTTAACTAATAATAATAATAAAAAAATATATTTGAGTTTCACTGCCATTAAAATCATAGACTCTGTTGAAATATATTAATTACATTTACTTAATCCTAAATGGGGTAGTAATGTGAAGCGCTTAGAGGCCTTGTAAAGGCATGAAGCGCTATATAAGAACGACATATTATTATTATTATTACTTAGGATTGCCTACAAAACAATCATTATATAAAATGTTATCATATATTATAATTATATAAATCATTTCAAGAAAACATTATAGATACAGATAGAAAGTATCACTATTGAGAAAAAAACAGTCTTACTTTCACAGCCATTTCCAAGGTCTTCAAATCCTGGTCTGCACTCGCATCGGAATCCGAGTGGCTCGTTAATGCATCGCATGTGCTCACCACATTCAGCCACTCCAGGAATTATGCACTCATTGATATCTGAAATTAATCAATTATAAATTTGGTTACAAAGTAACGGAGACTAACATCTGATGAAGCTAATAAGCCATTGATGATCAAAGCAAAGAGATACATCCTGTCTGATGTACAGGTAGCTTAATTGTACAGTACTTGATGTTTGGAGCAACTCAACGGAAAGCACTTATCACTGATCTTGGGGTATCCTCATTAAAAAAAAAAAAAACTAAAAAAAAAAATATACATTTTCTCCATCTTCTATATAACAGGTAGTTTAGGACAATTCTTCATAGATATGGAAAGAAGACTAGATATTTAAAACACCACATAATTTGTTATATCACCACGAGATCAAACCTGCCTCAATGGCAAATAACATCATTACATGGCCTTACCGTAGCAGTGAATACCACTACCAACTGAACCCTCCAGGCATTGACATTGGTAAGAGCCCTCAAGGTTTACACACTGTGCTAACTCGTGGCAGTTGTTGTCTTCCAGTGAACATTCGTCCAGTTCTGAAAGATAAAATATTTGAATAAATACCAGTAATTACGATTAACAATAATAAGGATGATAATGATGATAATATTAATAATATGTATTGATAAATTGGGTTATTGTGTCTAAGCCTGTAGGCCCATTGCCACCCACCCTTTTGCAACCGGCCGTTTGTGCTGTATTCCGCAGAGAGGCTTGCCTAGCAAATTACTGACAATAACACAATCTAGTATGCTATCCCAAAATTGTAATCTTGCACAAACAAAAAAGAAATTTATATTGATAGCAAGGTAATTTTGGCCTGTATGCAGTACAATCAGATTAATTTTTTTCAACTGAAGGGAGGGAACCATGGTAATAATAACTAGATCATCCATGTAAGTTTAAATGAAAGACTTGTCAATTGTGTTTACCTTCACATGTGCTGTTGTTGACTGTTGTGTATCCAGTTGCACAGGTGCATTCGTATGTTCCAGGTGTGTTGACACACTCCTCGTTAGCTTCACACGGGAACAAGTTTGCTGGTACAGCACACTCATCGTTATCTGAAGATTAAAAAAAAACCACAAAACTCAGTATTGAATAATTTCAATTATAATTCATAAATTGAACAAAGGAATATATTTTATACCAGGTATTTGGTTTCTATAATCAAATATATATTTATGAGTTACTGTCTGTTTAATTTCCTTGTATGAACTATTAAAATTAGCTAACAGGCATCAGGCATTGAGACCAATGATGAGGTGTGCAAACTCTTCCTTCCGCTTTGATCTTGTTCTACGCTGGTCCAAACTCTTTCTCAGTTAATTCTTCTCTCCATCTTTTAAATAATCAACCCATACCGCCATTAGGTTACAAATGTATTGGTCAACATGATTTTACAAAGAATATATACGATTTATACAATTGTATCAGCATGGAGTCGTTAAGTGAGAATAGCTACATAGTATAAGTACCTTCACAAATGACATAGCCATCGCCTGTGAATCCTTCGCGGCATTCACATGTGTAGTAGCCATCTTCATCAGTGCAATCAGCATTTTCTGCACAGTCATTTGCAAATGGATCATCACATTCGTTACGGTCTATCAAGAAGGAATGAAAAAACAGAATTTAAGAGATTATACCTTGAATATCTTGTATAATATTGTATAACAGCTTACATGATGTAATAATATTATTATTCATGGGAAGTTGTCAAGGGGCCACTCATTATGCTACTCAACCATCATCATCGATCTAATGACAAATATTATTCTTGAACTAAACTAAAAGTCATAAAATAAGTTTGCCAAACTTACTTTCGCACGTCTCTCCATCACCAACGTATCCTGGGTTACATTGACACGTATAAACACCAAATGGATTGCGCACACATGCAGAGTTCTCACCGCATCCGCCCTCAATGCGACAGCTTTCGTCGGCTATATTGAAAAAGAAAATTACATATTTTAGTAAATGCATGGTTGCTTTCAGTGAATTGGGCTTGATAGTTTGACTTTTGAGTTTTTAAAATATCTTAAAGTCATTCATTTCTGATAGTTTTCTTACGTTCGCATACAAGTCCATTTTCTGACAGGTGGTAGCCTGGATAGCACTGGCATTGGTAGCTTCCTTCAGTGTTGATACATGCCGAAGTTTCCGGACAGAAGCTACGGTCCTGATTGCATTCATCAATGTCTATATCAAAAACAAAAAAAAATTTAATTACATCAAAATATAATAGGCAAAAAAACTTACTTAATTAAAAGAACCATTTAAATAAGTTAGATATATAAAAAAAAAGTGTTACTATGAAGATTAATTGGTGGCAAAAATTAAAGTTTATAAGCAAAAACTATAGGAATGGTATTCTTTAACAGGCAAAGAAAATTTATTTTCCCTTCTTATTTTTATTTTAATACTCATAACTTATCAAAATATATAAATTAAGGAATTCAATTAAGTTTAATTGAGGTGAACAGCACGAAAACCTACAATTCAGCCATAAAAGGATTAATGTATAAAAATTATAAAATAAAAATAAAAGACTTTCAAAATGGCTTCCTACCTTCGCAGACGTATCCGTCACCACTGTAGCCAAACAGGCAGACGCAAGAGTGGCCGCCATCATAATCGTAGCAAACAGCATGCTCGTGGCAGTCGTTGAGATTAGAGTCATCACACTCATTGATGTCAACGCACTCACTGCCACTCCCCTCGTAGCCGTTCTGACACTGACAGCTATAGCTGCCAGGTGAGTTGATGCATAGCGAATTACCTGTGCAGTTACCATTGCCAAGACTCAAGCATTCATCAATATCTGAATTAAAAATACACATCAATAATGATAACCACAGTATTAATAGTAATTATAAATAAAATACAACATTATTCAATGCTTAAAAACAATACAATACAATGCCAAACATAAAGTTCAAAGTTGATAAACTATTACAATATACATTTTAAAAATCTTAACAATATATACATAACATTAATTTTATAGCACAATTTCATGAAGATCAGTGCGCTCAAAGCGTGGATTACAATAGCTCAAACAGTAACTTTCCAAAGGGTCTCTTCGTGTCTGAGGTGACTGGTAAACCGGTACCAGCTACTCTCATCTGTCCATAACAGGGGCTATACGGACCAGTACACTGGTGTAAACCCCTTACTCGTCTCGATAGAAGTACTGGGTTCTTTATAGTGTACATAAGCCAATTTTGTACACTGGACCTACGATTTATAGTCCTTATCCAAGAAGACTTGTTCCACCTCCGGAACCATAGCCGAGCATTCCATTTGAACCAGCGCCAATATTATGGCTGTAGGGTTGCAGCGCCCCTGCCTTAACCGCTCGGGCCATTTGACTTACCTATGATTAACAACATATCGAACAGAGAAGATGAATATTAAAAATAATAGCATATATTTTGGGATCTTACCGCTGCACCGATCGAAACCATCACCACTGTAGCCCGAGGAGCAGCGGCATGTAAAACCACCTTCCACATTGATACACTCAGCATTCAAATGACATTGTATGTCTTGCTCAATACACTCATCAACATCTGAGTAAAGAAAGAGTTGTCTTTATTAGGATAGGATGGTGGATATAAAGGTGGATATAAACGATTTTATGACCGTTGGCTGAAAAATCCATCTCCACTTGCTGCTGTTTGTTGATAGCAGACTGTCAATAAAAATTCTCTATTAACCAAATAAAACCGCAGCTGCAGTTTGTGTCTGGCTTGAAAGCAATGACATATTTCCACTGCTTTTTTTAACCAAATTATGTATACTCTATATTACGTGATATTAATTATAACTGGCAATTTAAACAATACACAATTGTTACACTTTTGGTAAAGCACCTTCTAATTATCATTAGTCTCAGTCATTATGCCCTATATGAATGGAACTTTATTATTATTATCATTATTACACCTTCTTACCAGAGCAGAAGAAACCATCTCCTATTAAACCTTCACCACATGTACATTGGTAGCCTCCTTCCGAGTTGGTGCAGTTTGCACGTTCATCGCAGTCGTGAGCTCCGGTTGTGCACTCGTCCAGATCTGCAATAACAAGTACAATTATATTTAGTAAAAACATACATAAGATCTACATCACATTGGAGGATGTTTATATTATATAGCATTCCTGTAACTTACCAATGCACCTTCGTGATTCTCCTTGATAGTACCCTTCATCGCATATGCAGTATGCGGTTTCTCCGACAGCCACGCACTGACCGTTTGAGCCACAGATGTCTTGGTCACCACTGCATTCTGTCTCGGCTGTGAGAATTGAAAGATATGTAATGATGAAATTTGAGTGTCTAGCTGCTATGAACAGTGTAATGGCGATACATAAGAGGAATTTTTCTACGTTTTGACCAAACTGACTTTCAAGATTGTCAATGCACACTAAACCAACAGCTTAATATCTCTACAAAAGAGCGGCAACTTGATGGAATCTAAATAGGGTCCCAATGTTCTCTATACTACAGGATATACATACCAACACAAGTGTAGCCATCACCAGTGAATCCACCTCTACATGAACACTCGTAGCTGCCTGCGTTGTTGCTGCACTCTGCATTGATATCACATTCATCTGTATCACGCTGGCATTCATTTATATCTAAAATTAAAGATAAAATATTTTTAAAAGTATAAAATAAATTATCTCCTAAATACTACACTGACCTATGAATATATTTGAAGGGTCCTGAGAAACTATTCAGCCTGATATTTTAAACCATGACCTTGGCTTACCTTTGCAACGTTGACCATTGCCTTCGAAACCATCGTTGCAGACGCAGCTGTAGCCGCCAGCTTTGTTCTGACAGTAAGCTTGGCGATGGCATGGACGATCCAAGCATTCATTCATATCTAGATATAGGAAGATATATTCAATGTTATATGTTAAAAGATTACCATATTAATTATAGTGTAGTAATATTATATATCTGATAATGTACTCAACTTTACAGAGTACATATGGAATCAATTAATCAAATGTCAATTTATATCTTATCAATCATTAAGGCTAATTTTAATGTCTAACAAGCTTTAATGGTACTGGTAAGGGTAAAGAATAGAGTTGATGATTGTGCTGTAATTGCTGTGCAGTCATATAATAGCAATAAAAATTATACCTTCACAGATTGTTCCATTGCCTACAAAACCATGGCGGCAACGACAGATTTGCTCTCCATTCTCTTCCACACAGACCGACTCCTCGTGACAATACTCAGGCCGTTCAGTGCATGTGTCTTCCTCTGAAAAAAAGCAGCCCAGGAAAAATCAACAAATGTTGTTTGTTAGTATTTTAATCTTCATGAAAATGTTGCTTATAAATCATTATATTATTTCTACTTTTAAAGGTGTCATTACCTGTGCAGTTGACTCCATTACCATAGGCCCCATCAACGCATTCACATTCATAGTAACCAGGGTAGTTGATACAGAGGCCAAGGTTGCCATGGCAATTAGCTGTTCCCCAAGAGCACTCATTAACATCTAAAATAATGACAACATCAACATTTGCTTATGCAGTCTCATTCAAGTTCAAATTTATTTTGTAATACTGTATACATGGCACATTAAACATAATATTTTCAGGTCATGGGTACATAAAACAAAGTAATAAATAACTAATATCTTCGGCATAATTTAAATTAATAATAATAGTAGATAATGATGATGATTATGACAAGATATTAAAAATATATGATAAAATACTGCACTAATAATGATACAGACAGACAAGTAATTATTATAACAAATTAATTTAAATGATTAACATGCATTATACAAACTATATTGTGTAACTTTCTCATTCTATATTTTCATCTGCCTTTATCATTTTAACACAAACCATGAACTAATCATAAAACAGAATCTTACCGACACAGACGCCAGATACCAACTTAACAAAGCCGTCCCTGCATGGACATCGGTAGCTCCCCTTGGTGTTCCTGCATGCAGCATTTTCAGTGCAGTTAGCAGTCTCTTGCTCACATTCATCAGTGTCTGAAAAAGTTATGACATGAGCATTAAATTAAGCAACAATCTATAATTAGAGGATTAAATGTAAGTGCCATTTTAGTATACAAAATAATATTTGTCTTTTATGCTATACTATGTATTTGATCTAGAAAATAAAACTAAAAACCGAATAAGTAGTTAATGTTTCACCCACCATTGCAGAAGTTGATTCCATCACCAGTGAATCCTGGGATACATTGACATGTATAGTTGAGACCATCTTCTATGTCAGCAATACATTCAACGTATGGACTTACCAGACAATCATTCTGACCTGAAGTGCATGCATCTGACACTATTGGAAAGAGAGCAAAATCATCATCAGTGAAAGCTTTATCTCTTAAATACATTATATATATATACTGTAAATTGTATGATTTATACATGATTTTTTAAATTAAATATTCTTATTAGGCCAAGAAACAATTAAAGATATTAAAATTAGGCAAATTCAGCACAGTGTTCAGTTAACTCTAATATTTAGTTATTAAACACATAATACGTTAATACATACAGATGCAAGTTTGGTATCCATCCCCGATATAGCCTGGAGGACAGGCACAAGAGAAGCTGCCCATAGTGTTGTTACACTGGGCATCTGCATGGCAACGTCCAATTTCACACTCATTGATGTCTACAAAACAAACGATCAAATTGTCAATTTATGAATCCAACAACCGACGTGGTTGCAAGTGCTTTGACACATGGTAATCAATATTATAGTTAAAATATTTTTAATAATTATTAATATTTTAGTCTCATAATTTGTTTGGTCATCTTAAGCAAGTGGTCAGCATCAATAATGCTATCTGTGGCAATTCATCACAAATACAAAGTTACTGAGCTAGCTTTTGTCTATATAAGAAGGAAAGTTATGTTTCTCATACCTGCACAGTAGGTACCGTCTCCAGAATAGCCATCACGACAGAGACACATATAGCTTCCGTCGGTGTTAAGACAGTTGGCATGTCTATCACACTGGTGAATTCCTGTGGCACACTCATCGACCTCTGCAATGACACAATGTCAAATTTCATTAATTTCTTATTTTAAAAATCTGTGTTAATTGAATTTCACTACTGAAAACTGAGGAATTACATAAAATAAAATGTATGCCCTGGGATGGATGGTTCTATTTCATTTGTAGGGTTGTTCATATAAAGAAACAAACAGACTCAAAAGATCATAATGTACTAACCTGTACATAAGCGAAGTCCATCCCCTGTGTATCCTTCTCTACATTGGCATACATAGGATCCTGCAGTATTCACACATTCACTGTCCAGTGTGCATAGAGACAATCCATTGCTACATTCATCAATATCTTAATAAACAGAAGGAGTATATTACGAATAACAAAACTACATAACCATATAGAAGATGGTTCAAAACAGCCAAGAGTGAAAAGCTATGAACATTTCATTTCAGGAAGACAAAAATGAGAAAGAGGTCACCAAGCTATTTGATAAACACTGAATGACGTAGAGACCTTCACATGGAACTTGGTTGGCAAATGTACATAAGGATAATGATACACATCTGTCACATCTATCGTTATCATCTTATTAAGAGTACTTTACCTAAATACAGATTTGGTTTTGAAACTCATTTCTTCCCTTTAAAATATGCTTCTTTGAGCAATATTTCATGTAATTTTACAGTTCATTACAGATTTAACCAGTCTACATGGTTAACTGCAATCTATACTCATGTTAACCATCATACAAGATGGATTTAATATTGATAGTTTTTTATGGGTTGGGATGGGGTATGATATCATGATAAGGTAGATTGGTAATATTAAATTCTAAAGTCAAATGGCTCAAAGAGTATTTACCTTCACATGTTTGTCCATCACCATTGAATCCTATTAAACAAGTACATTCATAAGTTCCATGATAATTGACGCAGTTGGCGTTGGAGCTGCAGTTGTTGCCACCTTGGAACAAACACTCATTCACGTCTAAAAGGGAAAGTATATAATGTATATTATATATAGCGTAATGCTAATATGTTTACCTAGTGGTTGCAGCTTGTCATATAATATTTTTCAAGCATGTTTCTTACCATGACATTCACGTCCGTTACCAGAGAAACCTTCACGACATGTGCAAGTGAAAGCACCAGGAGTGTTCACGCATATTGCGATGGATGAACAGTCGTGCAGACCAGTACTACATTCATCAATGTCTGAAATTTAAGCATGAAAAATACATTAAATATACTGCAAAATTGCATGGGAAATAGGACAGTGACTATTCACAAAAAAAAAGTGAAGTTTTCATTTAATTTTATAGTCTTTGATTCCACTTATACAAACATTTTTTTCAATGAGTAAAAATTGCAATAGCACACTTCAAATGGAAACACAAAGAAAAATGATGCAAACGTCAACAGCTGCTGTTCCCCTTTTGCCTTATTTTCCCGTTTAAAAAATATTTGGCTGCACTAAGGGTTGCGAAAACCACCTCTTGCACACAGTTGCATTTGTGTCTGTTTGTTTAATATCGAGTAGTTGCCACTGAAAGTTGACCAGATGTATAAAAAAGGTGTAGTAATACTTGTGTTTGTATCAATATGCACGATATTGCTCTAGTGTAAACCACGCGTTATTCAAATTATTTCTGAAGTGTAATTGTAGGGTAATTGATTTGAATATCGATAGGGACAAGAAATAAACTCTTTACCTCGGCACTCAGTACAATGACCAGAATATCCTTGTCCGCACTCGCATTTGAATCCGTACTTGGTGTTAATGCATTCAGCATGCTCTCCACAATTGTCTGCGCCTATCTCGCACTCATCAATTGCTGGAAGTATATTCAAATGAACAATGAAGTTAAATATATAATAATAATAAATAATAACAATAACAATAATAATCTGTACAGTATATGTGAAAAATTGGTAAGATCATCAATAATCAATTGGGGCTAAAATGGTGAGATTTGAATATTACAAAGAAACAAATATTTGAAAGTTTTAAAAATATAACATAGTCAAAGTAAAGCAATGAGTTAACAATAATAGGCAAAAATGTACATAAAAATATAAATCTATATTTACTTTCACAGTATCGTCCAGTACCACTGTAACCTGGGAAACATTCGCAGATGTATGAGCCATCAGAGTTGAAGCAATGTGCGTTGTGGTCACACAGATCAGTTCCTTCTAAGCATTCATTGATATCTGTCAGTAACACAAATTTTGAAAATGTATCATAAGATTGTACAGAAAAATGTCAAGGCTAAATATGAGTTATTAATTCAATAACTACAGATAATAAGGTCAGTCATCCATACTAGTTACATCAGGAGTTCAACTCATGAAACCTACATACCTTGGTTGGATGCTTTATCGACAGAAATAAATTTCCTTTATTTTTCTATTGGATCAATTCAGTGTTTCCTTTTCAGTTCATAGAAACCAACATGCAAAAATTTAGAATATTTTTGATATTTTGTATGGAGGATAAATAAATATTCATATATCATTAGGAAAAAAAACCACAATTTCTCACCATCGCAATTTCCGCTGGTACCATCACCATCGTAACCATCTTCGCAGATGCACACATAGTCCCCAATGCTGTCAACACACCGAGCATTCACGTCACACCTGTTATCTTGCAGTAAACATTCGTTTACATCTGAAGGAAAAATGTTATTAATTTATCTATTTTTACTTATGAAAGCTTAAGTGGACAGATACATAGCTATATGGCTTACAGATAATCTATACTACTACCACCACCACTGAACTCACTAACTACCATTTGAAATATAATGCTAGATCTGTTTATCTTACTTTCACAATTTCTTCCGTCACCAGTAAAGCCGTTTTCACAAGCACATTCATAGGTTCCAGGAAGATTGGTACAGGCTGCATACTCATGGCACATGTTGCCCTCATCAGCACATTCATCAATGTCTAAGACAAAAAATATTACATTACATTATTTAAGAATAAAACAGTAAAACAGGATAGGGTACCTGAGAGAACGATAGAGTATGAATGATGAGGAAGGGGGGGGGGGGTTATGCTGCTGTGAAGCTTATAACTTACCGTTGCAGACATCTAACTCCACGTCACGTTCAAATCCTTCGAGACACTCACATATGTACGAGCCATCGGTGTTGTTACATACACGGTCGATGTCACATTCAGCTGTGCCAACTGAACATTCATCAATATCTAGATATCAACAAACAAGAGAAAAACCTATTAATATTTTGGCTTAGTTTACTACTAATACAATAATCATACCAACACAGGCAATGATTATGATGATAGTGATGCTATTTCTAGTAATTATAAATCAAACAGTGCATTAAAAAAAATGTGAATGTAAATTTTAAGTGTATATAAATAGACCTTGTTAAAAATTGACAAGTTTTGGTTAAGCCCTTGAAGAACTGAGTTCTTTTTTGCGCAACCAAGACCAACAATTTTTTAGTCCATCTAAGGACAAGAAATTAGGGCAAAGTGTCTTACCCCAGGACACAACCAAGTATGTTTAAGGTAGGTAGGTCTCTCTCAAAGTAATTCTGTACTAGTTGCTTCATCAAGGCTGTACTAACTCATCCTTAATAATGTAAAGACCAATTCAACATTTAAGTACTCACCATCATATGTGCGTGCTGTCTCATTTCTTGTCCAACCATCATCATCACAGTAGAATGAGCCGATACGGTTGGTACATGGTAAGAAGTCACAACCCCAATGATCTGAGTCATCACATTCATCAATGTCTGTCAATATAATAAATTAATATTCATTGTTAATATAACAATAGTAAAAAAAACAAAAACATTGTTACATTACCTTTTTAGGGCCTAGTATATAAGTATCTAATAATTTTTTTAGTAAGTGGGAAGCAAAATAAATTGCATATATTTCTCGTCGGGGGTTCTTAAGGAACAGTAGCAATTAGTTGGTTTATCCAGGTAAGTATTCACAAAATAGACTGGATGGGTGTTTTGGTTCAGAAAACAGCAATAGTCAGTTTATCTTAGTAAGTATTCAAAAAAAATACTACTACAGTAATTTGTAAGCTAGAGATTAACAATTGAAAGCATTTTTTTACCGTCGCAAGTCTTGTCGTCTACAATGTCCTCACTGACTTCACTTCCGCCTTCACTGCCGCCTACGCTCCCTACTTCCTCTCCTTCACTGATAATGGGGTGTCTGAAGCCATCTAAGCAATCGCATGTGTAACCTCCTTCACTGTTGACGCACTCTGAGCTGATGTCACTGCAGGCATTTTCTTCACCCTCAGCACACTCATCGATATCTGTGAAAAAACAATTAAAATAATATCATTTAAATTTACTGTGTTACTTTCTTACATGCCGACAGTTTTGTTCTGTTTTTTATCCGACATTTATCCTTGTATCCTTGTAACGTAAATAATCAAGGTTTTTACAGTAATTACATGTTAAAAAAAAACCCCCAAAAAAAACAAAGAAAATAAAATAAACTGACCTTTATAAATATAAATAAATGAAATTCAGAAAAGGCTGTTGCTCTTTGCAAGTGGAAATGGCGCCGCGAGCAGCTCTCTGAGATGGATACGTGCGCCTTACAAGATGCCATTATTATTATTATTATACAACTATGTATTATCTAGAAAGAAAAACACATTTCTGTACCTTCACAAACACCAGCTGCGTTTTCCCTGTAACCTGATAGACATAGACAGTCATAGCCACCATCTACATTGAAGCATTCTGAGTTGACACCACAGTCAGCTGTGCCCATTGTACATTCATCATCATCTGTAATTATCAATGCAGAAGCAATATTAAAATGCATGTTATTTAACACTCAACAAAACCTGTAGACAAGGAAGTGCCGGGATCCAAATATATGTAAATCACATACTGTACTATATTCTACAGCAATTCAGTATGTCCCAACTGACTAGGATCTATTTAGTTGGAGCCATTGACAATAGAATTAATAAACAAACAATAAAACAGATACAGAATTAAAAACTATATTTCTGAGGGTACTGCAATGGATAACTGTACCTTCACATGTCTGTCCATCACCAGAATAACCTTCATCACATGTGCATCGATAGCTTCCGGGTGTGTTGGTGCAGTTGGCGTTAACGTCACAGGCATCATCTACCGCCTCACACTCGTTGACATCTGAAAGATACATAATTTTAATAATAGTTCATCACACAAATTTGCAGATGAATAAAAACACACTGTTGGCAGAGTGGTTGAGGCTGGAACTCTCAAATTTGAGGTGTGAGGGTTTTTTTTTTTTTTTGCAGTGCAATAGCGAACAATAGTTAATTCAGGTGTCCCTACTCAAGAGTGTTCCAAATTAGCTAACCAAACAGTTCGCTGCATAAGTTTCAAACCATGAGCCAGAGCCTACTTGCATCTAAGGCTGAAACATGACAATAAGCCACTTTTACATACAAGCTGGAGCATCTATGTATGGCCGGATGAGAATGGACAGCATGAGGTTTAACCTCCCACCCTCGAGGTCTGGAAATCAAACAGATCACACTGCACCAATCCGCCTTACCCGTCTGTGAGGGTTTGAAGTCCGGTTTGCCATTTATGGGATTCAATGACCACAGGTATTATTCTGTTTGTTTTTAGTAATCAATGGGTAACAGTTAAAAAACATGACAGACCTTGACAGTTACGTCCATTGCCTTGGTAACCATCTACACATGTACATGTGAATGCACCCACGCTGTTGGTACAGTTAGCATTTGCATCACAGTTATTTTCTCCTTGACATTCGTTGATATCTGATTAATAAAAAAAATAAATTCACAATTTTCTCATCATTACCATTGAGATTAGTGGGCTAGCTAGGGCGAGTCCATTGTTTTTCTTTTATGCTCGAGAGGAAAATTTCAAAGGAAACTTAGGCATTTATCGGTTTATCCAGGTAAGTATTCACAAAATAGACTTAACATTACATATTAGTGTCTAAAATACAGTATGACACACACAACAGTTATTTGCAATAATAATTCTACCCAATAATGCTTATTTAAAAGTAGGTTAGTTAATACATACCTTCACATGTGACGCCATTTCCGCTGTAGCCATTGTTACAAGTACAAGTAAAGCTGCCTTCAGTGTTTGTACACTGTGCAACTAGAGCACAGTTACTTGTTCCTCTCACACACTCATCGACATCTAAAAGAAACCATACTTTAATTACTAAGTATCATTAATAAATAGTAAATCACACAAGCAGCAGCGATGCTGAGGGCGCCTTTGGTTGGACTGTTCTATTCTATTTGAAGGGGTGTTCCATTTCAAAAACAAACCTGAAACCTGCAATTAGTCAGTTTATCCAGGTAAGTACTCACGAAATAGACAAAATATTGAAGACAATCGTAAAATGCAAAGTTTCAGCAATAGAACTTATCCCTCAAAAATATTCACACTATTGTCTTGGACACTGTATCAAACACTAAAGAACACACTAAGTCCCACGACAATTATTTTATATTTTTGCAGCTTGCAATCAGAACATCAGGATTGAAATCATCAAGGTACACACATTATACGATCTGTTTAAAAAATAGGTCAATAGAGTGCCCTGTACAAGGACCTAATCATCATATAATTCAACTCTAATTTCATCTTAAAAAAACTGTCTCACCCTCGCAGTTTCGACCATCACCAGAAAAGCCATCGGAGCAGATACATGCGAATCCACCATCAGTATTTTGGCATGAGGCATTGCCATGACAATTAGATAAACCTTCTGCACACTCATTAATATCTGAAAAAAGTAATATTCAATAAAATATATTAGTATAGCACCCATAAAAATGGTTTTATTACAGTACATGCAACAAGAAAAATACATAGGTGAAGCAGAATGAGTTTCAAAAAATATTAAATTTCTTCATGACCTTTGACATTTTCCTACATGTAAATTTATATTTTGCAGCACATATAATCACAAGTCCAAAGAATATTCAACTCGTGATCATGTTGGTCCACAGTAACTACATGTATAACAGCTCATTATACTTGCTGAATTTTAGTAAAATAATTCCTACCATCACAGTCCTGAGTGACATTGTTTCGTTTGTAGCCATCTTTACAGTTGCAATCAAAGCCTGATGTGGTATCAATGCAATTTTGAGTGTCACTACAGTCATGGGATCCCTCAGTACATTCATCAACAGCTAAACACAAAAAAAAACAACAATTTTATACCAAAATAGAATAAATTGTCTGAGTGTCTCTTTTTTGTTACATTAAGCACTACATAAACTTGGTTTGAACAAAGATTAAAAATGTTTTTAATTGCCAAACTTTGATATCATCATTGGCAACAGTTTACAGAGCAGACCTGGTCACAAAATATCGATAGGTTGGCCGCTTGTCATCCTCGGATGACATCCAATGTATGTTGTCCAAGTACAAGAATTTCATCATTTAAGAATGTGGACTGAAAATTCACGAACGTTGTTAAATTTGATTATTCTTTCCCTGGTTTAAGATTAAAATTTGTAAAAATTCAAAAAGAGACCAATTGAATTTATTTCAACTCACAGTTTAATTGATATAATTTAATTAAATTAACTGATATAATTTAATTTAATTATTTAATATCAATTAAATTAATTAATTGATATAATTGAATTTAATTAATTGATATCATTTTTCAACCATTCCAAAGATATATATGAACTTACGCTCGCAGTCAGCACCGCTTTGGATTTCTCTGTGACCTTCAAGACAGTTACATGTGAAACCGCCCTCATTGTCCTCGCAAACCTGCCTTTCTGTACAAGAATGTGTTCCTACATTGCATTCGTTGATGTCTGAAAAAAAAAGAAGAAACGTATTGCACAAAAGTTTTTAGAATGTTTTTCAAAATTTAATAATAATAAACATAATAATAATAATAATAATATGCGTTAAGTCAGACTTAAGGGGAATATCTTTTGTGTTATTTTTCCTCTTAACATCATTTTTTTTATTGTTCTTTAATTTCTCCGTTGTCTAAGTTCCCCTTAAGGTAGGTTTTAGTAACATAACAATAATAATAATAATAATAATAATAATAATAATAATAATAATAAAAAAATAAATAATCAACACTGTGACTAAAAATGACAGAAATTACACAAATCAATCGCATTTATCTTCGAGCAGCTCACATTCCCGGCCGACTGAATGTTCTCGCCGATGCGCTGTCTCGACGTCGGTTACCTCCACTCC